AGGACAACTTATGACGCGACATAAAAAAAAGGCCACATTGCGACCCCTGCTTTAATAAGCAAAAGAAGTCACAGTTGTAAACAAAAAACTCTCGAGGTCTCTTTTTGTCTAGAAAGCCTAAATTCGATTTACTTACACTCGTATTAATCTTTTACAGCTGTATTTTTCAGACGTCAAGATTTGAGAGTTTCAAATGTTTGAAGGTCTGAAGGCTGAAAAAACGAGGATCAATATCCAAAAGCGATTCAAACATTCTTCCTTGAGTTCCTTGATCTTCCTTGATCGACCAGTCGTAACGGGATAATTTGATGAGTTCATACAGTAAATTAATAGCACTAATAGCTAGTAATGCAAACTGCAGACTATGTTTCAGTATTGTTCAACATCTCAACCACAACATCTTGATCACAATTTTCTATGTTTCGGCTTCAGTCTTCAGTCCGTTCTCCTAGAAATTTTGTAGTCTAGTCTAGAGTTCGTAGCCAGGGTCATTCTCGAACTCAGTTGGTCTCTCAGCGTTTCTTCTTTCCTTCGTTTCTGCGGCGGCGAACGAAATTAGCTTCACTGAAAGTTTAAGATGAAAGATTTTAACTGACAAGTCTTTGAGCTTTGAACCCATTATCTGCAAGACTTCCCAAGCGTCAACAGGGAGAAACCTGTTACTGTAAGGGTATTGAACGTACCTCTTAAATCTTGTACCCAGATCCTATCGTGTAACTGCAATGCCCGTGCACTTCTCTGATTAGACTCCACCACATCTCGGCAATCCGTGGTTCGACACTAGTTATTCTTGATCGATAACGATATTCTAGGAACGACACTAGTTATTCTTGATAGCGAAAACAGCAAAGATCGCAATATTTCTATTCTGCATACAGATCAAATTGCAAATAAAACGTTTCCCTGGATCAAAAGCAATCTTTGCGTTTGCTTTAAGGAGGACAACTGAGAAATTACTTTGTAGCACAGAGAATCGTTTAGAGCAAGAGAGGATTAAGTCCTCTCTTAGCTTGTAAAGAAACGTTTGTTATTCTACCATTTTAGTTGTCCCCAACAAGTTCAGATTAACATAATGAGCATACTACTTTCTTTATCAAGACTGACCGAACGAACCGCAGCCAGCTACTACGAGTTTTGACAAATTAGTCGCGTGATATTCTCTGGATTTAATGGCGTTTTCTTATAATATCACTCGGTATTATGACAACTAAAATCGCTCTTTATTCTGGAAACAAACCTCTCGTCGACAGAAAAGAGAATGAGGCACATCACAAACAGAACAATTAGCTCACGTCTCTTCTCAGTTCTTTCTCGGCTTCTGCAAGAAAAAAAATAGTTATGGAAGTTTTCTTTAGGCGCTTTTGCTTCTTAATTAGTTTATTAAAGAAAGTGCTTCTTTGTTCAATCAAGAAAATGATATAATATCAGTTTCCCCCAACTTGAATTCAAAAGTTGTTGTAGATACGACCCAGTTTAAGCATGCAAGGTTAGAGATGGACGGGAAACCTTACGCACGAGAAGATCTCGCGTTTCTGCTCTCCAGTGCACGGGTTCCTTGCTTTTCTCGGGTTCTCCCAACAGCCTCCCGTATTGCACGTCTCAGATGAAGAATGAAAACAGGCCAAAAGTTGATCCAGTATCGATTTACCTATCGATTTATCGTAGATTTTTCGATTTTCACATTGATAAGCAGGGCCTTGAGATCCGGTAAGTAAACAACATATCGTAGAGTATGCATCCACTACAGTGTTTCAGTCAGATAATTTTACTTGAGGGCCAAAGTGGCCATTGAAAACCTTTTTAGGGGCCAATTTTTCAGGAAAGGGGCCAATAAATTGAAAGCTGCAGAAGGAAAAATCCATCAGGGTACCAAGGAAAATAAACCAGTTTATTAGGATCTATGATAAAATTTAACAAGTACTACTCAATAAAGTTTCCTTTGAATCAGAAAGTCGTTTGAGATCTGTCTGCATGTTAGAAGCTAATAACGCATTTCTGTGATCAGTGCTCTCAGCGTGTCTTGTGAGCGACGAAGTTCTGAAGTTCGTGCATCTAGCAGTAAAAGAGGACTGTTTCCCAAAGCGGATAAACAGTTTACATAACATCCCCTTCTCACTGTCGTGTTTTAACCAATTGTAGTCGTTCAACCACCGAGTACTTGATTAAACTTCTTCTCCTAACGTGAAGAATTTGGTTTCTGTGACATATCAGTCGCTTCTTCATCAATTTCATTGTCTTTCGATTCTTTTTCCTCCATTTCACTGTCCACTGCTTCTTCGTTCGTCGAGAAAAAACTCACGATAGACCTTGTCGGCGAAGCGGGAAATCGTCTTTTGCGAGACGCCGT